GCTCAAATTCACCAAAATAAACAGTAATTTCATTCCTTCAGCACGGGCGCTGGCAAAATAACTGGACCATTACGGTACGGCAGCTTCGGCAGCTCAAATTCACCAAAATAAACAGTATTTTCATTCGCTCCAGTCTTACGGCAGCTTCACTTGACCAAAATAAACAGTAATTTCAGCACAGGCTCCTATTACGGCAGCTCAAATTCACCAAAATAAACAGTATTTTCATTCGCTCCAGTCTTACGGCAGCTTCACTTGACCAAAATAAACAGTATTTTCAGCACAGGCTCCAGTCTTATAGGCTTGCTCACGGAATTATGGGGGATTTGCTGACCGGCTCCACTCTTACAGCAGCTCAAATTCACCAAAATAAACAGTATTTTCATTCACTCAGGGGCTCCAGTCTTCTTACAGCAGCTAAAAAAAAAAGTTGTTCTAAGTAAGTTTATATTAGGGGACGGTATGATTTTTAATAATTTTACAATAGCCGTCGAAAAAAGTTACAGTTCCAATTATTTTCATGCTGAAAGTTCCAGTTCTCGTTTAAAACACCAGTAGTAGTACTAGTACTAGTACTAGTACTAGTAGTACTAGTAGCTCGTGTTGTACAGGTGAAATCCCTTCTTGGTGACAATTACACGACATACTAGCAAACAAGAAAACCTACTGGAGAGCGTTGCACAATAATTGCTGGTCTTCAATTCCTTGTACTATAAAAGGAAGAAAACACACAAACAAGCTGCATAGTACTTACCAAATCCTGCAGCCTGTTTGGCATACTAGCTAGCACCAATAGTAGCACTGACTCTGTACTGTTCCCACCAATAGTGCAGCAGAACCATAGCAGTAGTAGTACTGAAGCTACATCATGATGTATTATTCATCCTCAAAGCAGCAACTACTAGTAGTAAAGCTATTGGAAACCTTCAAAGATCTTTTTAGTTTTGATATCCACATCTTGCCTCAGCAAATTTGCTCAAATGAATAAAAAGGTCAAAAGTCTATGAAGTTTTTCTTTCAAAGAAGGGGCTAGAAGTAACAACATCTCTTTGCCATGTCCATACTAGCTAGTATCTCCCCCAAGTTTATTGTGAGAAAATAATCTACTACAAAAGTACCCATACTACTAGTACAGCTCCCATCTCTGTTGCAAATACAAACACAATAACTGGGTTCTTTCCCTTCCTGACAATTATAGCACATACTACTAGTAGCAAACAAGAAACCCTGGAGAATATTACACAAGAGGAATTGCTAGTCTTCAACTCCTAATACTGCAAAAACAAAACAACCAACAATCTACTAAACTCTTTCCAAATACTACCTTTTTGGCATCCATTGACATTCCTTCCTGTCCACCACTGGTGTCCACTTGTTCAATAATCTATCATGACAATATGTTTCTAATCCAGCCTCTTAAGAGGTCCTCCTAGGCTACCCCTCAGGGCATCTACTAGTAGTGGCACCCTTGTCTTGAAGGGCTGATGGCTTGAAGGTGGAAAATAATCTGATATCTTTTTCTTTCAGAAATAAATTGCACTTATGGTGGTTCCTGCAAGAAGTAGTAGTGTAGTAGTTACTTGTTGAAAAGCTCAGGTTTCCTCTTAACTTTGCAAGCCAATCCAAGCATGGTGGTGGTGGTGTGTAGAAATGTAGGATGAATGTTTGCATGAGTTCTTCTATGATTTGGCACAAATACTAGAGGAACACCACTCCTTATGATTCATATTGCAAGAATCAACAATCTTTTTGTTACTTGTAGCACTTGTACTACTACTACTCAATTCATACTGCTGGTGGTTCATCCCTTGCTAGCAGCACAACTATTGTTGTACTACTACTGATGCCCTCTTCCCATCTGACCTAAGTTCTTTTGGCCCTCCAGAGATCTCTTGCCAGCAGTTGTTTGGGATTTTTGCCAGTACTATTATCATGTTTGTACTAGTAGTGCCCCCTTTGCATCTGATTCTGCAAGTGCAAGAAGCTATTAGCTAGTACTCAGTTCTTTTGGGAGGGTCCCTTGCCAGCAGTTGCTTGAGATTTTCACCAGTATTGTTTGTACTGATGCCTCCATCACACCTGATTAAGCAAGTGCAAACTAGTATCCAGTTCTTTTGACCCTCCACCAGAGCTCCATTGCTAGCAGTTGCTTGGGACCACTTTTTCTAGCATTGTTTGTACTAGTGCCTACTTTGCATCTGATTTGGCAAGTGCAAACTAGTACTCAGATCTTTTGGCTCTGCAGAGGTCCCTTGGTAGCAGCAGTTGCTTGAGATTTTAACCAGCACTGTTCATACTGATGCCCCCTTTGCATCTGATACTGCAAGTGCAAACTAGCACTCCTCAGTTCCTTTCGCCCTCCAGAGAACCCTTGCCAGCAGTTGTTTGGGATTTTCACCAGTACTACTACTATAATATTTGTACTCATACCTCCTTTGCTTCTGATACTGCAAATGTGAAGTTGCAAACTTCTTGCTGCTGCGGCCTCTATTCCACCTTCTTGTGGGGACATATTCATATGCAGAACACTACCAGTAGGTCAACCCACTAGTGCTATCTGTAACACTCCACTTTATAGGAATATTCAGGATGCTACTCTGGAAATGTTAACTGCTACTACTAGTATTGCTATAACATATCTTGTGGGGACTTGATCCCAATAAGTACAACTTCAGCTAAGCTGCTCTACCACCATTACACAATACTAGAACTGACACTTGCAATATAGATCTTTCTTATAGTTGTACTTGTTTTTTTGCTCAAACCAGAAGATTGATCCACAACCAAAAAGGCAGTAGGGCTAGCGCAATCCTAGAAACTCAACCAAACAAGCTAGCATAGCTACACTAAATACAGGTCATAACACCACAAATATAGGTGAACAATGTTCCAATCACACCAACTGGTGTTACCTATCAACTCAATAAAGTATTTATTTGTCAGTCACAAAATCAAGACTAATCAGTACTAAAGTAGTAGTAGTATTTTTGCAATTTAGTATCTACTTAGAATCAGTACTATTTTGGCTATAGCTACACAAAATAATCATAACAGAACAAATAGAGGTAAACAATGTGGCAATAATAACACCAACACATATGGCCTATCAGCTCAACAATGTGTTTTATTAGCCTGGTGCAAAATCAAGGCTTATCAGTGCAAAAATTGTCATACTAATAGTATTTTTGCACACCACCAACAGCTGGTACTTAGAATCAGTGCTGGGTCTATTGACACCAAATACAGGTCATAACACCACAAATATAGGTGAACAATTTGCAAATAAACAGGTGTTGCCTATCAACTTAATAAAGTATTACCTGTATCAGTAGTAGTAGTTGTAGTTGTTGTTGTTGTATCCCAACAATGACTCTAAGTAGTTGCTGAGGTGCAAAAATACTACTACTAGTAGTAGTAGTAGTATGACAATTTTTGCACTGATTATTCTTGAATTTGTTTTGTGCTAAATAAAAATTTGTTTAGTTGATAGGCAATGTCTGTTGGTGTTATTGGCGGGTTGTTAGCCTCCTGTTTTTGTGCGTTTGTTAGTACTACTACTAGTACTACTATGACCTGTATTTGGAGGAGCTGTAGATCCAACACTGATAGTACTACTAGTAAGCAGTTGCTCAGGTGAAAAAAAAATCCTACAACAATTTTTGCACTGATTACCAGTCTTGATTTTGTGACAGACCAATTAACACTTCATCTTCATTGAGCTGATAAGAAGCAATATTTTTTGTTATTGGCACATTGTGGACCTATATTTGCTATGTTATGACCTGTATTTGGTGTAGCTATAGAAGACCCAACACTGATTTCATCTAAGCAGTTGCTCAGGTGCAAAATTACTACTACAGTTTTTGCACTGGTTGGTCTTGATTTTGTGGTTGACAACAAATAAACACTTCCTTGAGTTGATAGGCAATATCTGTTGGCGTTATTGGCACATTGTTGACCCATATTTGTGGAGTTAGGACCTATTTGGAGTAGTAGTTGTATCCCAACAATGACTCTAAGAAGTTGCTGAAGTGCAAAAATACTACTACTATGCAGTATTTACTACATTGATTGAGTCTTTGAAAGCACCTTGAAGTGGAGTAATGATAGCTGTCTCTTTTGCTGATAGTACTCATTTATCAAATGGGAAGAAACCTTTGGACTGTAGTTGCCATCTTTATTGGTTGTAGCAAGAAATTCTGCCTTGTTACAATAACAGCATTGACTGTATATCTGAAAGGCGTCTGATGTTTTTGATTGAAAGGTTCTACAATAGTTGTCACTGCTTTTCTTTCCTTCCCGTGTACCTGTGCTGGAGCACCAAGAACATATTCAAAGTGAATTGCAATTGCAATTGGAATGTTTTTTTTTAAATACTGCAGCAGCTTCCTCCAAAGTTGATATGTATTTGTGAAGACTTACTAGAAAACCATTTGTATGGCCATTTGTATCACAACAACAATGGTTGTTGTCACTATCTGAGAAATACTCAGTGTAGGTGTCATCTTGTAACAGCGTCTACTGGTGGCACAAACTCTAGTACTTTTGGTGCCTGGGGGGGGAGGGGGGCTTCAAGGAGCTTGATTGCAACATAGTAGCAAGCTTTGCTTTGGCTGCCTCAAAGATGACATCCTCAGCAGCAGTTTTCTGATTTTTAGCTAGCTTGATGGTGCACTTCAGAGGCTGCTGTTTGGGGATCTATTTATAACATCCAAAACTTGTTGTAGGCATGGCAAAAAGCACAGATAGCTTCTTGAAGCAAATTGAAAATTGATATGCAACCAATGCAGTGCCAGGTGGTACTGCAAGGGGATCCTTACTAGTAGTTTCTTGTTTGGTCCTCAGCAACCAAACACTAACAGTGTGATGAACAACATCACATTTCACAATTGCTCAATTCACTTGATAGTAGTACCAAATCAACAGTAGTAGTTTGAATTGATGTGGAGGCTGGATATGGAAGGGATCGATGCGGAGGCAATAGTACTACTAGATACAAAGGGAATCAATGCATAGGGGATCCATGCAGAGGCTTTGTTATATGGAGGATGCAAAGGATCAATGCAAAGGATTGATGCCGAGCAAGGAGGATAGTACAGAGGGGATGGATGCAGAGGCTGCATGTAGAGGGGATGGATAGTAGTTCTTTAGATTGCTTTTTAAAGTGGACTTGTGGAAAGAAAATTGTGAGCAAAACAGTACTAACAACAATACTAGTACTACTACTAAGAACATCAACAAGGTAAGGTGTGCCAGCAAATATGCCTGAACAAAAAGTTTGTCAAAAAACTGCACAGCTGAGTTCCTCTAGTACTACAACAACTACTAGTATACATGCATGATGAGCAGGATTCTACCATGACAGCACCACCAGCACCACCACCACCACATCATAGTAAGAAAAGTACTACTACTAGTACTACTAGTACTAGTATCATGTATGGGGGTTACAACAAGTGATCCAAATTTTGCCTCCTCCTCCCAAACAGAGGAATCTTTTTCAACAGATCTATAGTTCCAGTGCTGTTCCTCGCAGTGCTTAAATGAATCACCTTATTCAATAAGCTTGAATGCACATATTTCAACTACTACTATATTCTTGTACTAATCGTACGGTACTCGTCGTTTCACAATGGGAAGGGCATATCAATAGGATTTAAATGTTGGAACAATTGTGCAAAGTCCAGAGCAAAAGCAGAGGTGGTCTAGTTGGTTATGACGCGGCTTTAACACAGCTGAGGTCGGGGGTTCGATTCCCTCCCTTTGTATGAAGATTTTCTTTTTTGGTTCCCGATGAGATGCGAACGTCGCTGTCACATCTTGCCACAGCTTTGCCCTTTCCTGTCCTCAGCGAGGCGTTGATGCTACCGTACCGTATTGCATCTTCCCGATCCTTCGGGAACGGAACGGAATAGAAGTAGAAGTAGTCGGTACTGTACAACGGAAAGGAATATATGATATGAGACTGATACAGCACTACGGGTACCGGATTTTTGTATTCCCTGTCGGTAACCGAGAACGTCATTTGCTCCGGTACTGCTTGCAGTTAACAGCATCGGTTCCGCTCTCGTGCAAACTCTACCGGACGATCGGACTACCGTACCGGTGCCTTACCATGCTCCCACCAACTATTGCTATTGCTATTGCTACTGTTATTGCTACAGCGACTACTACTACAGCGACTACTACTACGAAGGCTGTTTCTGTGTATGTGTGATTGGGGGAAAAAGATCTGGGCAGATTGTATTGGTGGATCGGGATACAAAGTTCAGAACAAGTTACGGGTGATCGATTACGACTTCTATTTGTGGTCGCCCGATTCCATTAACGAATGCGTGCGTGTTGTGTTGTGTTGTGTTTTCTTGTCCAAGTGGCGAGGAACAGCAGCACACACACCGCACGAATGGACGTGAACGGTGGAAGCAACCGAGGCGTTTACTGTTGTCTCTTGGCTGTTGTCTCTTGGCCGTCCGGTGTCGAGAGTGCTGTTCCGCTGGTAGCAGGTACCGAGACGCACCCCGCAAGAATACCGTTCGGCGAGGAGGCCATCGGGCCGCCCAGCAGCTTTTCCCGTTGGAGGTTTTCGGAGGTTAGGCCCCGCGGAGCCTGCGGGGGACTCCCAAGGCTTGCCCGCTTTCGTCGCTGGTTTCGTTGTGGATTTTGTTGCGGTCGCTCCTGCCGTCGCTGTTGCCTCCGCAATCCCGAGAGCAGTCGATCGAGAGGGTGTAGCAGACCGCTCTGGCACCCGGAGCAGCGTCCGAGTGGCAGCACCGGGGAACTTTCGCGGTGTCGCCCTCACCGAGAAGACCCTTCTTGTTGCTCGGAACTTCCTGGAGGCAGATGGTGAGGTAGGCGGTCTTGCTGGTGATGCCGCATCGGATGGAGACACTGTCGATGGGGGCATCGTTCGTGTTGCTGCTACTTCTGCCGCTGCCAGAGGACGGACGCGAAGGAGGGAGATTTTGCTCCTGGACGCAGCGGTGCTCAAAGAGGGATGGCTGGTACTCGTAGAAGTAGTTCTCAACGGTGTTGGCGTTGGCGTTGGCTGTTCCCCAGGCCTGAAAGAGTTCCACGGTGGCCGTGGTTCCGTCCTCGGACACGGAAACCACGCGGACAGCCGTGGGCTGGTCCGGTGGTCCCGGGTAGGGTGTGGCGCCCCTCGTCGCTTGCAGTTTGAGGAGGCCGCTCTTGGGGCAAGCGTTGGGATTCGTCGTTGGAGAAGGCCGGCCGGTAGGAAGAGGAGAGGGAAAACCCGTCGGCTCCCCGGTGGTTGCGGAGGTTGGGGGATTGGTGGACGACGAGGTCGGTTCCGCGGTTTGTTCCGCGGTCGGTTCCACGGTTTGTTCCGCGGTTTGTTCCACTGTCGGTCGAACGGTGGGAGACGCGGTGGGCGAAAGAGTCGGCTTCTTTGTTGGTTCTTTGGTAGGGGAAAGTGTTGGCTTTGTTGTCGGTTCCCTGGTGGGATCTTTGGTAGGGGAGAGAGTTGGCGGCTTGGTGGGTTCTTTGGTGGGTTCTTTGGTGGGTTCCTCGGTGGGTTCCTCGGTGGGTTCCTCGGTGGGTGGCCCGGTCGGGTTTCTTGTCGGAGCCGTCGGCACGCAGACCCCCTCCTTCACCAGCTGCGGCGTGTCCCAGGCAAAGAAAAAGTTGGACCTCCCGTACCAGCTACAGTGCTGTTTCGGGGCGACCTCTAGGAGCTCAAAGGGGCAGTAGGCCTCATAGGTAAAGGTCCAGCAGGCCGTGTCGACAAAGCCAAAGACGACGCTCCGCTTTCTCTGGAGATCGGTCAGGCCGGCCGGGCCGTTGTCTCTTCCCGGGTTGTCCCAGCGGGTCCCGTCGGTCGTCGCCGAGAAGACGGTGCGGGTTCCGGGCCTGCAGGGGGGAGGGGACACGGCTTCTGCCCCGTCCCCCTCGCAGGCCACACCGAGCTCTGTGGACGGGTGCAGGACGTATCCGCTGGCTTGGGAAGCGTCGATGAAGAGCCGCTCGTGGATTCCCCTTTTCCCCCCCGAGTTCTTGCGGCGGTCCAGATCGTAGACGGACCTGCCAGCGGTAGAGATGGGTGCATGGATGAACAGGTGTGGACAGACCATGCATTTTCATGTATGCATGTTGACGCATAGATGCATGAGGAAATGCGTGGATACACACGTACGCAAGGTATAGAACGAAATGATCGTAGCAGGTGGAACGAAAATGGATAGGAGTGAGTGGCAGGGTCCTGAGCAATACGTGCTTTGTGGCACGCAAGCATCGACGCATCGAAGCATCGACGCATACACACACACAAGCATACAATCGGAACCACAATTCCCGACAGCACCAAACTCCAACCTCAAACCTCAATGCTCGGCACTCAATGCTCGGCACTCAATGCTCGGCACTCAATGCTCGGCACTCAATGCTCGGCACTCAATGCTCGGCACTCAATGCTCGGCACACACTCACCACTGGAAGAAATCCGCCACCACCTCGTTGGTGGTGCCCGGCTCGACGAAACAGAACTCGAAGGTCCCGGACCCTGATCCGGGTTCGTCCCGGACTGTCTCGAGGGCGATCTGGCCGAAGCTCCCCTCGTAGATGGGGTCTACGAGACCCGCGGCACCATCTCCCGAACGCACCGAATCCGGGGCATCGTCCTTGGTCCGGACGAGGAGGTCGACGGGTCTCCCGCGGATGGTCCCGATGGATCCGTAGCGAAGGGATCCGCCGGAGAGGGCGCCCGCGAGGTCGTTCTCCTCCACGGTGGCCCTGCCAAAGTCCAGCCAGGTGGACGGCGGCGACAGCGGGACGCCGCCCGCGACCCTTTCGCAGAAGGGTGCTCCGGAAGCGGAAGCGGAGGCAAGGGGAATGATTGGCGCACCTGTCAGAAGAAGGACCGCCGAGAGGGCCGCCGAGAGGCGTGCGACGGTGCCACTGGTAAGCGTGGTGGTTGGCATGGTTGGCATTTGCTTTGTCTTGTTGTGGTTTGCTGTTGGTTGTTGTTTGTTTGTTGTTGTTGGATCGAACCGCAACGCAGCACGCAACGAAACGGATTGGTTCGGAAATTGTGAGAACGGGAACGAACAAAGAATTTGGTCGATCGAGAGAAAATGCCTTTGTTTKGAACAAACGACTCTGACAATGCGTGCATTCGCTTCGGTGATCCCCAAACAAAAAGCATTTGCCGTCGATAGGAATGTGAGAAGGTTCCTATGTGCATAACATAACGCATCATAACATCACAGAACGTCACACCGGATCACATCGCTCACAATATATATGTACAAGTGGGGAACTATATGTATTGCCATGTAGGCAGTAGCCATGTAGGCAGTAGTCAGTAGGCAGTAGGCTAGTCGTTTAGAAGGTCTATTATTCTCCTTGTTCCTAGATACTTCTACGATACATGTGTGTACGGGTCCGGTCCGGTACTTCGACGGATTTGTCTTCCATCGGCCGCGAATCAGAACGCCGAATGACTACGAGTACGAGTATGAGTATGAACGTGTATGGTGTTTGAGTACGTAGGGTACTTGGGTACCCTACGTACCGTACAATCATTTTCAAAGATCAAAAATGAAAACCCCATGACAAGTTGGATTTTCGTAGCTGCGTAGTACTTCTACCGTACCTGGTACTTTCGACTACTACTAAAATATTGAAAGAATAAGATCGGGTCCAGGATGCATTGCATGCATCCTCACATGTCTGTCTGTGGGGCTTCCACCCTTCTGGTTATTTGTCCGCCGTGCAAGATTGCGATTGCGGGTAGGATTTGTTGAGGTGGTTGCAAAACAGTAACTCTATTATCGAGCAAATAAAGTGTTCTCTATCTTATTCTCTATTTCATTGAAATATGAGCTCTCCTCCTAGCTCTAATAATCACGGCCTCTGTCCGGAATTCACTCCTCTTAACTCTTATATATTCGTTCAGTCTCCAAGATCCCCTTTCTAGCATCAGATATCTTCAACTTCAAGCTCTTCTTTGGCCACCAACAGCTGCTTGCTTCTGCCAGCTCGATGAAGACAGCTGCTCATCCAGTTCCTTCAAGATACTTTATTTCATTAGACTACTCATCATAACCTCCATACGTAGTATCCTATTCCCTTCATCTAGTCGCCCTCTCGATGGGACTATCTCAGAACTGTGTCTCGCCCAGCTCGCTATCTCCTGCCCTGCAGCACGCTAGGCGATTCCCAGTTCGACAGGATTCGCCTGCTGTCTTCGGTCTTTGGTTAAAACAACGCAGCAGCGACGGCCATGGCTCCGGTTGCAAGGGCACGGGGTCCCGCCGCAACACCAGTTGCGGTATACCCCATCTCGTCCACACCATTGTTCTCGGTAGCGATGGCAATCTCTAAGGCAAAGACGCCCTCTGTTTTCTCTTCGGAGGCCTGGAGATCACGGCCCTCTGCGTTCCCCTCAGAGTCCTGGAGATCACGGCGGCTAGATTTTAGTGTGAGTTCCACGCCACCCTCACAGGTAAAGGAATTTTCAGTTCCACCTTCCGAAACATATCCTGTGGTGACGACACTAGTAAATCCCTTGTAGGCACCTTCATTGTCGGCATCCTTGTTCAATGTGGTCAGCGAGCTAAAAACGACCATGCCAGATTTGTCGACTAGTTCTCTGGTGCTAGAATCATTCTTGCAGACCACGTTCTTGAAACCAGTGATATAGTACTCGCCACCTAAGGCATCCCCAGAACTCACAGATAAGCAGATGCTAAAGTCTTGACCAAGCTTGAAAGGACCAGTGTTGGTCGGACCATCGCACAAGCTTGCAACGACTTCAACCTCTTCCGTCCTTTCCTCCTCCACGACAACATTTGTTCCCGAGATTTTAACGTTGGTACTGGTACTGAATTCTCCAGAGTCTGCTCTCCAAACGTCGATGGTAAGCTTGTAATCTAGATACGAGACATAATGTGGGATCTTGCACTGGTCGCGTATATTATCATCAATATTGGCGATAGCTACACCCTCCTTTCAGTAGGCATCTTCTACATCCTTGCACGAATTGCAGCATTTGTTTTCTGTACTAGCAGCCTCGAAGCAAGAGCCGCACATATAGGAAGCTCTGATACCTGCGTGGCGTAAAAAGCAGAAAAACAAGATCGTCAGCTGCCTAACATCCAGACTGCATCGAAACACTTGATCACCCAAACAAAAAGCACAACATATTACGTACAAAGCTTGCCAGTTTCTTTAAGGCCATCTTCGCTGCTTTCAAATAGGTCATTGATCTCGAATGTGGCTTTTCCTGTACGCCATCCGAGAACGAGAACGAGAGCAAGAGTTAGATAACGACGACTCTAGTAGCCTGAATTGTCGGAAAACAACGTTGATATGCACAGATTATACTACTCACCAACAGCAGCATTGTCTTTGGTAAAGACGTGTGGATACAACTTGTGTTCTTCCGAACTCACATCCGTTGGTTTCGTGGCATGATAAACTTCTTTCTCTCCGTTGCTAACTCCCCAAATGGAATCGTTCTTCAAAATTTCACCGCTCCCGGTCTCGTTGGGCGTACCGGTACCAGAGTAACAAGAGTCGTTGTCGTTGTCCGGCATGGGAACGATCTGTACTTGAACGTCTTCGCTGTTTCCTTTGTTATACTCGTAAAGAATAAACCCTGTGAGTCCACTGGTTGGATTCAGTGAAGTTATGTGAATATCGTTTCCACCCCAGCGGTGGTTCGTAAGCTCCCACTTGGAGAGATGTAATGGGCACGTTTCATCCTGCTTATGACAATAGTGTAAACCGTCACTTTTATCTTCACAGCCACTATCCAGAAACATGTTTTGATTACTAAAAACGTTTTGATCTTTTGAAGGCCACGACCCAAGACACTGATTGAACTCGTTGGCACCTGCAAACATAAGGCTTAGGTCGGTCACTTTCGAAATGTCCCATCGATCGAGGGGCTGATTGAATGGAGTTTCGGCTTCAAACATACCATACATGCTTGTCACCGATCCGACGTCCCATTGACCAATGTCTTGGTCGAAGGAACTGGCCTTACTGAACATATGATACATGTCTCTAACCTTCCTGACGTTCCATGCACCAATGTCTTGGTTGAAGGAACGGGCCGCATGAAACATTGCTGTCATGTTTCGCACATTTCCGACGTCCCATTGACCAATGTCTCCGTTGAAGTTTTTGGCGTCATACAACATCAACACCATGCTTGTCACTGCTCCGACGTCCCACTGACCAATGTCGTGGTCGAAGGAACTGGCCTTTCCAAACATTCTGTCCATGTTTTTCACATTTCCGACGTTCCAGTAGTCAATTGGTCTGTTGAAGATAGCGGTGTCATAGAACATCATCTCCATGTTTTCCACATTTCCGATGTCCCATCCATCAATGTCTCCGTTGAAACTGGATCTTGCAAACATTCCTTTCATGTTTGTCACAGCGGACACGTCCCAGCAAGACAAGTCACGATTGAACTGTGTCTTATCAAATACCCATTGCAAGTCTTTGATGCCTGTAACATTCAGACAGGAAATACCTGGGTCGTCAGTCGATACCATGTCCTTGATTGCTTGTGTGCTTCCCGGAACTGTTCTAGTACCCGGACACTGAATTGCACAGCGTTCAGCATCACCATTGGCCTTGCAATAGTACGTCGAGGGGCTCGCCGCCAAAAGAAACGTTGCCAACGAGAAGATTGGAAGTTTCATGATAATGATAGTAAAACACTGGTGTTGAGTAGAGTCTGTTATCCTCGATTTACAATTGTGAGAACAAGGATTGCTCTTTCTATATTTTTCGGGATTCCGATCGATTGCATGATTCTTCGTGTTATTTCTTTTCGATCAAGTTTTCCCCTCAACAAAACAATCATTCCTTGACACCTGCTACGTCATAGAGTCTTGGTTTGTGTGGTGCATATCACACGAGATGAATTACGTCAGTGTCTCAGTGTTCACGTTGCCTGAAAGTTCTCAGAATTCCGTCCATTTACCACCGATGATGTGGGGTTCAACAACGCTTACGTACTTCTATTTTTGTTTTTGTGGGCTTGAGGGTTGAAAGCTTCAGCCTTCAATGTGAGAAGATACGTGCAATGCTTTCTCGCCTTCCGGAACATGTTCTTGTGCAGTTCTCAATACATCAAAGGATTCATTTATTTTTAAGGAAAGAGGATGAAATTTCTATTTCCAGATAAAGTACGTACGGTACCAATGTTTTTTTTTGTGAGCTTGAGGGATGAAAGCCAATGCTTAATATATTCTTATTTTTTTTTAAGGAAAGAGGATTAAATTTCTATTTCCGGAGTGAATCTTACCTTGCAGCGTCCCATATCTACCATGTGCATTTTTCCATAATTAGGAATGTATTGTGTTGCCAGAATAATGAGAGAAAATAACGTCCGTATGAATACCAGCAGCTACGAAGAAATAATCTGTTAATTCTGAATTGCCCTTAAACAAACGATTTTATCAGCGTCCCTTATATCGACCATGCACACACGGAATGAATTTTTTGTTACGAAGAATTAATCTGTTAATTCCGAACTGCCCCTGAACAAACGATTTTATCAGCGTCCCATATGTATCGATCAAGCACAATCACAGGCGCACGGAATGAATTTTTGGTAACCAGAAACTTGTAAACAGATAACCTGTGAAATGTTAATAGACTCCTAGTGCTGCATGATTACGTGGTTTACAATAAGAGTGAGGTTATTCACTAGCTATTCGTGATCCAGTGTTATCCTCACATACATACTTCCCTTCAGAGAGATCTAATTTCTTCACTTTTACTACTAGTAGCAGTCTGGTTACAGAAAAAGTGCACGCTTGCGCTTGTAGCCTGGCAAACGCAGATCATCAGGTACGAAGTGACTGCTTGTTTTTTGCTTTTATGATACGGTACTGTATGTACGGTACGGTACACCAGTAACACCCGTGACCTCACCGAGGTCGAGATCTTTGGCTCGAGATCAAAGTGAGGTTGGCGTTACAGCAGAGCTCTTCCACGCATAGTTATTGTTATCATTTACGTAATCATGTGCGTTGTGCGGATTATTTGCTAAGTATCCATGTGGGCTGGGTTACAAGAGCACCTGTTAATGGCAAACGCAGGCGTCGATCGGTTCCTCCAGCATACTCTATGTCACTCTAGGGGGACTGTGTAGTAGGGATGACGCTGCTGGTTACTGGGACTAAAGGAGGAGTTGCCGATACAATGCGAGTTCCTGGTGCGGAGGACCCTGATACGAGTCGCTCTTACGGTCTGTGATTACGGGACACTGATACAAGTTGCTGATACTACTAGGAGTTGATACGAGTGATAGTTGCTGAGAGGGATGGATGGGACGCTGCTGAATCAAGAGTGCACCGAATGGCACGGAGGGGACAAAGTTGCGGATGCGAGTTGCTGATGCGACTGGCTACGAGCCAAAAGGAGTGGTCAAGGATTAGGGTCGACGATTATGGTCCAAGATTACATTCGACGATACGTTTTGCCGATAAAATTCGAGTTGATGGTAGATACGGAGGACGATGATACGAAGGATGCTAATACGGAGGATGCTGATGATTGAGTTAATGGACAGATTATCGAGGCAAATAAAGTGTTCTCTATCTTATTGTCTATCCCTTGAAATCTGAGCTTTCCTCCTAGCTCTAATAACCATGGCTCTTGTGCCAGATTTCAATCCTCTTGCTCCAATTCAATCCCTACAACTTGTTCTACTCACACTCACTGGTACTCAGGCTGGATTCTGCTCTTCCATCTCACCCGACTCGAACTGCAGTAGTGTCACTGGAAGATCTCTTTTCCAACAACCGATACGGAGGACGCGGGGGATGCGAAGACGAGTTTCTGATACAGAGGACGCCGACGCGGGTCGCTGGTGCATGCCTCTGACACAAATCGCTGATACGGAGGACGTTCACTGATACGAATTGCGATTGCAGCCTACGATTAAGTCGGTGTTGGTGCGGATAGGATGCGAACATGAGTTGGCAATACGAGTTGGTAATATTTTTTTGTTAGTAATACAAGTTGGTAATATGATTACGGTTAACTATTACGGTTTACGATTACGGTCTGCGATTACGGTCCAATTATTTCGGTGTTGGTGTAGATTCATAAAGAATGTGAAGGGCACGCTGCTGAATACGAAGGACGCTTAATACGGAGAGGAAGCTGAACAAAGAAAATCATCGCCTAGTGTCAATCTATTTATAATTACGGTCTACGATAACATTCTATAATTATGCAACCTTTCAGTTTCCGTATCAGCATCCTCTGCATCATCATCTTATTTGCTTTTCAGCGTACCGTTTCAGTATCAGCATCCTCCGTATCAGCAGTTTAGATTAAGTAACAGAAACTGTCGTCCTCCGTACTATTCAGCATCCTCCGTATTCACTAGCATCTTCGTAAATCGCACAGAGCGCAATGGCGACTCACATCAGGGGCCACCGCATCAGCGACTCGTATCAAAAAGTCGAATCAGCAGCAATTTCGTATCAGAAGCAACATCGTATCAGCATCCTCGGTTCTCCGTATCAGTGAATCTTAGCATCATACGCAGGGGACGCTGGTAAGTTAAAACATGTTTGCAACCGCGAAAAAATGCGGGGTCTGTCTTTTGTTTGATTGTGTTTGTTGCTGTTTTCATTAAGAGCACGACTATGTTCGAATGACCAGATTGAAAAAAAACATTGCAACTAAAATTCATAGTCCATGTCGGCTATCAGTTTTTCAGCTTGTAAGATCGATGTTCGCTTTTCAGAAAGACTGTTTCGAGGTGACATACCACTAGGTGTGGATGAAATGCTAATCCGCTCGAAATTCTTGGATAAACCAAATAGAGTGTGGGAATCACTGACCCGGCGTCCGGTTTCTCTGAGGATGGAAGAACGACGTTTGCTCGATTTACGATCCGCTGGTGGTGTCAACCGACTCATTTCTTCTCGAATGGCCTCGTTGAAACGGCCTTGCAAGTTTTCTATTGTTAGAGTGTCTCCTTCCTCACCGAATCCCCAGTTAAGAACCTTAAGGCCCAACAGTCTTAAGGATGCCTGGACCTTGTTTAAAATGTCTTCAGTTGCATCGCCCTCTTCGATTGGAAGATATTCCATATGGAATCCAATGGCACCGTATCCCATCAGAAAGCAACCTGAGAAGCCCAACACCTGTCGGTAGACGTCAGTGAGAGACAGGTTTTCTTTTTGGTCCAGCTTGATAACCTGGGAGTACTCCTTCCATAGGGTTCCCAAAAACTGGTAAATACTCTCTGCTGACATGACATCTCCTTGTGCAGCATGAGCAAAGAGGCAGGCGATGGGAAAAGCACTGAAAAATCCGATGTCCTTACCCATTGGTCCGCAATGAGTAAATTCCCAATCAATGATAGAGTATTTGCCATCATCGCCATTTTCCTCGATCAGATCGCCGGGCGTTTTCGGTTTTCCTTCCACCAGGATGTTGAAGGGGTGAAAATCACCATGGATATAGCAGTCGGTGCGTTGAAGACATTCGCGATATGATTCCACAATCTTGTCAAGATTATGTTTCCCGAGAGATTTGCCAAGTTCCAAAGCCATGTCCAATTCTTCTACAGGGTCGTCTTCGTTGTTATTTTTACTGTCTCCATCATCTTCGTCGGAACCATCATATCCGTCGAAGATAGTAGATATCATCCCCGCTAAGGCCAAAAAAAAGGGCTTCATCTCACCGTTAAAGTCGGGATCCGTAACCTCTGAGTTATGGAGGGCCCCCAACCCAGCAGCAAGATTGCAGGCAAAACCTTTGCCAATTATTCCCCCCTCGATGAATGCGTGACCCCCCTGTTCTTCTAGATTCGAGGGAGCAAATTCGGTCGCCAGAACCTTCATGTTTTCTTCTTCACCCTCCACGTCAATGCAAAAATAAGGTGTTACGGTTGTTTCTGGAAAGGGCGAGACCTTCGAGTACCACTCCATCATTTGGTATTCGCAGTTGGTTCTATTAAGGGGACAGTTCATACCGGGGAATAAAACTGGCTGTCCAAATGTCATTTTTGCGAAGAGAGCGACATCTTTGTTTTTCTCGTGATCTTTGAAATGTACCATGTAGCTGTAGTTGCATAGTCCACCAGTCAGAATGGTGAGGTCTAGTTCTCGCCCTGTGGATAGTCCGTCTGCAATGGCACGCAAATCCGCATGCACTGAAGACGATTTGTTGGAACACTCCTTGACAATAGCCTCCAGAGTAAGAGACTTCAATTCTGCCTGTCTCTGTATGTTCTGAATAGCGCTGTCGTTGGTCATGGTAGTGTTGTTACTAAGTGTGGCTGTAGTTGTAGTCGTAGTGGAGGTCGTGTTGGTGGTTTTTTGGTTGGTTATGTTTTTTTCTTTTCTACGTTTTGATTTGTGGGAATAGTTGCAGCGCCCGAACGAGAAGGAATTTGTATTTTGTTTCATTGGTTTTGGATCTTTCTTGCACGGCGCATCGAAAGACCTCGCATGATAAAAGTGGCGTCGCACCATCCGCGCGTGTAACCAAAAATTATGTAGAAGTACGAAGTATCGGTACATTTGGGGTCAATCTTGTTACCGCGTAGTATCGTGAAAGAGCTTTGTGCTGTGCGTTCTCAAGCTGACGGGCGCGAGCGAAGAATTTCTTTCCTTGACTTTTGGATCTTTCTTGCATGGCGCGTCTATGAAAGGCCATATTGGTACCGTAGTACGAAGTGGTATTCCTGTCGGGGATAGTGCAACGAATAGGTATGAACGTACGTATGAACGCACTCATATGATCGTACGGTTGCGGATACGAACGTACAAATATGGAAGTATGGATACTGGCGAAGGTATGATTTGTATCTAGGTATCATAGGGTACCGTTTCTATTTATGTATCATACGATCCATCATACCGAGGAATCTGAGAGGTGGTTGGGGGTGGGGTTGTTGGGGATGAATACCAGTAGGAACAGAAATACTACCAGCTGTTTTCCTTTTCAAGGCAAACAGCCTCTGTAACGAGCCCCTATGCTTAGTTTCCCAGATCCTCTGGGTCTAGTAGTAGGGTTGGGGTTGGGGTTGGGGTTGGGGTTGGG